AAGATGGATAGGGGAAAGGGGTGTTCTCTTGGGTCATATTAAGGGAGTTTCAGATGTCATCAAGAGTTTCTGGAAGGGAGGCGGGTGGAGAAGTCTAAAAAACAAAAGTTTTCCCATGAGAAGTGGAGACAGATGTCTGAGCAGCAGATGAAGAGAGACTGTTTAGGAGAGACTGTTTTAGGAGATGGGGTGAAATGTACAGATTGTCTGATGCAATGGGTAAAGTGAGAAGGAGGCATCAGGGAAGTAGTAGAGATTCGAGTGGCTGGATTTAGAATATCAAAAGAATTAGACCAAAAGTTTGCAGTTGTTGGTACAAAAAATAATCTGCAGACACCAACAGGAAAGCCACAAATAAAAGAAAAAGATCACAGAAATGGTTCATTTTTATGGTATGGATGCACTAAGGTAGGGCAAATTTTTGTAGTCCTTTGTACAGGCACAAACGATAACCCTATAAACAAAAGTAAAAGACAGTGGGAAGCGTCATGCACAGCCTAAGTCCACTCAGTGCTCCCAAGTTTAAGCTTTATCTTGCTGTGCACACCGAGGTTAATTAACGCCCATGATTCCTGGGGGTGTTGTTAGATTGTTGAATAAATTTTGTAACAGAGTTCGAGACTTAGTCTAAGGAGTGTGTCTGTACTGTAAAGAATTACCTCAGAAAGTGCTACTCATATCCTAAATCTACTCTGTGCTCCTGAGTTTCAGCTCTATCTTGCTGTGCATACCGAGGTTGAAAAATTATGAAATGGAGTTGGAGACTTAGGCCTAGTCTCTAGTGAGTGCATTTGTATTGTAAAGAATTACCTATACTGTAATTCATATGTACAAGACATGTCCTCTACTCAACTGCAGTGATACACCCATTTCCATTTTTTTTTTTTCTCATTCCAATTTAATCTTTGAAATTTTTTGTTAACCTTAACAACACCTAAATATGTATATTTAGGTCTTGTCACACACCCAGCAAACACTGTCTTCACTTTGACATGCATGCCGAGATAGAACTGAAACTCAGGAGCACTGAGTGGACTTACGCATATGTTGTGAGCTGCATTTTCCATATTCTTTTTCCTTTATTTATGTTGCGAGCAGCAATTTTCACATCTCTTTTCCTTTATTTATGTTGTGAGCAGCATTTTCTGCTTGTTTTTTCCTTTATCTGTGGCATTACCATTCATGTCTACAGATTATGTGTCCTCACCAAGAATATGACATTCTTTTTGCCCCCAGACTGTAGAGTATTTTTCTTGCGCTGGGAATGTTACATTTTTCATGCGCGGAAAACATCATTTTGTCAACATTTGCGCGAACGGATCTGCAGACAGATGATGAAACAAGTGCACAGAAAGGTCAAAAGAATTTTGTGCGCAGATGATTTAAAAAAGAACTAAGCGTGCGTGGAAAGTTACCCTAGAACTACATTTGTGCTGACAGAATTTGACCAAATGATTTATGCGCAGCGAACCAAACTCTACAGTCTGGAATTGCCCTAGGTTACTGCATCTATACCATAACGATTAACCAGGGTAACAAACAACCATATATATATATATATATATAAATATATATATATATATATATATATATATATATATATATATATATATATATATATAATATATATATATAAATATATTTTAAAAAGACAAGCTTAAGAATATTTCTTTATTAGAAAAAATTACCGAAAATAAATGGCCAAGGACTTTAAAAGCTCCATGTTACTATACAATTATGAGGCAAAAATTCCACTCTGAAACTTGAGGCACTGCAGGTGTCCTGGAATCATTCACCAAATAACACAAGTCAGTTTTCTGCACATCTTTATATGGTATAAATCACTACAAATCATTGCCAAGGGAAGTATCCTCAACTATACAACAGGCCTATATATAAGTTCCAACTGGAGAAAATGTGGATTTCACCAACTCTTTACCTGCTGTCAGATGGTAAGAACAGTGACAACACATTCCCTGTCTGCTTTACTATACAAAAGCCTAGATATCTATTAAACCGACACTTTTTACAAGGATACTGTGAGTCAATTACATTTTCTTAATTTTCTTGACTCTTCCGTAATGAAATTTACACTGAAGTTGACAATACAAGTTTAAAATACGAATTAGTACCAATACATCTTACAATTCTACCCTTTCACTTCACTGTCACAACAGCTACATAGCACAATATTGATGGAAAACACCTGTTGGAGTCAATACATACATTAAACAGGACAATGTATAACAGGTAACATACATATGAAGTATTTATTACAGGAAGTAATTAACAAATAGCGTATTTCTTGCCATTTAGATCGAATACTTCCATTATCGTATCACTTATACTTACTCTCACATACACTTATCATTTGCACTAAAAAATAAGATAGTGTTGCGGGTATTTAAGGCCAAATATTGAGAAAAATATTGAAAAATCTCTTCTGAGCGTTTTGAATGTTGGGGGGAGTCAACACAAACCAAAACACTAACAAGAATTG